CTATCTATCTATCTATCTATCTATCTATCTATCTATCTATCTATCTATCATTAGATAGATAGATCCATTTAGATATATTCGTATCATTCAGAGAGAAAGCCATTTCATTATCCGAGTTTGTTTTCCTCTTTTTCTCAGAAGGATGTTTCCTTCCATCCATGAAATGCTTTGAAGAAATGCTTTCTTTTAATTTGAGACAATATATCTAATCCTCCTGACTTCATTCTGAGCTTATTCAGATCGGGACTTTAATTTGGTCATTCTCGATTTGATCTGGGGCAATTCCTTCAATCTCCTTCAGACCATTAATATCGGCTCTAAAGATAAATCATGCTTTAATCCACAACATTAATCTCAAACTGAAAGTCTTAAGAAAATGCTGTTGTGGAAGAGGAGGTCGTGGCTATGGATTAACAAATATGTATTTTTTGCAGTCTGCTGGCACAAAATCCCTGTCCACCTAAATGTTTGTTTTTCTGGAAAAGAAAAAAATATATATAAAAGATTTAATGTACTTATCAATATGAAGACACATTGCTGAACATTTTCAACACATGAAAGATACATTCATAGACAAAACAAAAGCAATGAACAGCACACAACAACACACACGTAGACATTTATTAGTCATCTTTTATTCACACATTCTTTTATACAAAATATTCTTTTATAAAACTTCTGTTTTTTAACCTGTCCCAGTCTGTGGATCCTTCAGGAGTTATGTGTTGTTAAACTTGTAACCAGGCAGGATGATGGGTGTTTTGGTTGGTGTCTACGAGTGCAGAGCCCTGCAGTAGCGGTAGAATGCAGTGCCACATCCAAAACCTTTTTAGGGATATTTTGTCTCTTTGTCTCTTCCAATTTCAGACCATCAACTCTTAAATTAGTGTTATACTCAATTGCTAATGGAACTTGATACCTATTTTGGGCTTCATACTGTATCCCTACTGATGTACTGCACCGGCACCCTCCTGCCATAGCTCCTAATCACTATCTATGGGAAAGAACAGTTTCTCTTTATTTTAGCACAAGGTCAATCACTGGTCCCATGTATGAAAAGTGAATTTTATATTCATCTTTTCCCTTCCCCTTCTCAAATTCAAAAGTTTACAATTACAATACAATACCATCTTTTTAGATATGCTCACAGTTTGATGAAGTCAATATATATTTAATTCAGCTTAATCTAAAGTGACATTGTTTACCTGTATAATTGACCACAATTTAGTCTAACTTTTTTTCCTTCCAGATGATGGGTACCATTTTTTGTTTCATAGGATCATCAATTATCATTACCAACATGCCCTGAATGAGTTTAACGTTCAGCTGTCACTGGGCTGGGTAGTAGTTGGATTACTTGCTTTTATTGTTTGATTTCTCTTACAACGCTGGCAATGTACTGTACCACAGAGTTGTCATTTCCCTCTTCAGGATTCACAAATCACAATTTCCCTGTGACGGTGATTGTTGCAGATAAACTGCTTGACAAGGCCATTGTTTTGGGGATTTAGAGGTGTGTCTGTGTCTTTCTTATGTCAAGCTTTTGACATCCTCACCAAAACCTCTGGAGCCCCAAAGACAACAAATATATCACGAGCATTTGGGGTCACTGAAAGCAATTCATGGTCAGTTTTCTTTGTAAGGGGTTGGGAGTCGCCCGATTGGGCCGTTGGCTCATGTTCATGCAGTACTTGAGCCAAGCAAGGACTAGAAAATTGCACTGCTCCAGTTCAAACTGTTTTGATCACAATGCCTCCAGAATGCTGTCAGTTGTCATTCCTGAACAAGCTAGCAGTGACAGCAGTAGTTAGGCGCTAGGACAAGAAGCATCATTGGCACGGAGGCAACCAGCCCAATGGACATTCTGAGAGTCAGTCTGAAACATTTGATGACTGACACAATCATGCTCTCTGTAAACGTGGCATCCATTTCTTCTGCCTTATTTCTGCTCTCTATGTCAGCCTGATGCACGTGGGCTGTCCTGGTGGAAATGCCATCAGCAGACCGTTTGTGTCTGGGCTGGAACTCTCAAACTGAAGCTAGACGGTGCACTGGATCACATCACTCCCCCCAGTTATAGGCAACATGAACATCCATCTTTTTTGATGAGCACCCGTTTTCCATACCGCTTATTCCATACAAAGGTGAGGGGGATCTGTCCACTTAAACCTGGACAGATAACCTAATGGGCGGTCACTATGCAGTAGTGACCACCCATTAAGCTCCGTAACCTAACTTCACTTGACTGAGGTTAAATGTTGAGGCTGGAACCGGGATGGAGCCAGGTAGGAGGGTAGAGAGGACAAACCTCTCCATATCAGTTTTCCTTTAGAGAACTGGTCCCAGTACCACTCTCTGCCCCCACCTTTGGGTCTTATTGCCAGATAGCCTCTGCTGGTTGGGGCCACTGGGTGGCCTGCTTTAACTTTGAGTGCCTCCTACCTTTCTCCTCCTCAAGGTGTGTGTGAACAGGGCGGACCTCCAGCGGTTACCAGTTGCTGCAATCAGGAGGCGGTATTTAGAGGGAGGTGTTACCCAAGGCTGACACCAGTTGGTGCATTTCCACTCATCTGGTAACTTAACAGTTAGCTCCACAGCTCCATGGAATATTTTTCGTCCAGAAAGGGAACTAAACCTTTTGTCTTCCTTCAATCCTCAGCGTTTCCTCTAAGTCCTCCATGCAGTTTCTGAATTCCTTCCTGGATCTTTGGCCTGCCCGTCCACCCTCCGTCACCTTTTCTGGATCAGGACCTACGTGAAGCTTCGCTCCTCGTGTCGCTCACGCCCTCTCACCCCTGTCCTTTAGACTCACCCCTGCTCATCGGTCTTACCTCCCTCCGTCCTCGCACATCCACACAAGTCATCCCGCTCTCAATGTGAAAGTAAAACTTTCATCTTCACTCCGTCTGGCTAGTGATGTTTGCCTGCCCCAGAGTCAGCCCTTCCACCATGACACTGCTACCTTTCAGAACTGCTAACAGCATATTTATCCTACTCAAACACACTGTCAGAAAAGTAACTTTATTGGGAACATGCAGCTTAACTTAGAGTTACAAATCAAAAGGTTACAAATCAAATTACATTAAATAGTGACAAAAACAGATCAAACAGAAAATCACATAGAAACTAAACTGACTGGTAACATCTAATTAACTAGCAGACCATACCGGTGATATAAATGATCAAACAGTAGTAATGCTTGCATGCTGGGAAACGGAACCTGACAATGTCAGTAAAATATGTATATGGACTTATTTACAATACATTTAGTGAGTTAAGAAAGTAGAGTTCAGCTGAAATGAAAATGAGTAGCATCTCAAAATCACAATAAATCTTTCACAACAAATCCTCAGTAGCATAACGTATTGATATTAATCATATGGATGCTCAGTCTCCATATGCTCAGAAGCTGATAATCTTTACATAAAGCTAAACAAAAATGTGATAGACATGACCCTTTAAGACCCACAGTAGCAAATATACACAACAATTCTAAAACAAAAAGGCCTGCAAATGTTGAGTTGGTTTATTTCTTGCAATTCCCTTTGGGGTATGTGTTGGGTTTATGTTGCAATTCATAATTCATCCATGGGATTTATATAACTTGCAACTTTCACACAATCAGTCGTTGAGATATCTCCTTTATTATTTTACTTGTTGAATTCATGAACACATAAAGTCAACAAGGTGTGGTGTAACACTGCAGAAAACAGCAAAACAGCAATAAATGTACCAACAAAAATAGATTAAATTGTTTTTTTTTTGTTTTTGCTTTGACCTACACACACTGCAGCCAAGAAACTTTCTGGAAATGATCCAGAGAGATGGCATATGACAATACAGTATTTGTTGAGAAGGGACACTGTTTGTAGTAATGTCTCACCAAAAATACTAATTGCGTGCAACAAACCAAAAATCTAGAATATGAGTTTGGTGTTTCCAGACAACTACTGTTCCTAATCTGATCCAGATCAGATCCACAACCAATCTGAACTTTGTAAACTTTGTTCTTCGGTAACATTCAGTTGAAAATTAATACAAGTCTTTCATTAGAAAGTCTTTATAAACTTAAAGATTTATAGATTTTAGGTGTACATAAACAGTCTAGCTCTGCTTAGACTCCTTTTGAAAGTCTGGCTCTTTGACATTCAATTGAAATTAGGGATATTTTTGTTTGACTTTAGGTACAATCAATGATGTAAAGCTTGAAAAATAGATTAGACATACAATATTTTAAAAGAAAACAACTTATTTTCCGGTTTTTCTTCTCATAAAAATCCAAATATCACATATAAAATCAAGAAAAAAATAGAATGGATAACTTGAAAATCTCTTCTATCTTTATGAGAAGACTGTGTGAGATTTTCGGGCAGTGTGTGCCACCAGTTGTAAAGCTTTGACATTCTTGTAATTATCAGACCCCTTGCTCTAGTTATCATTATCCTCTTCATCACTATCCCTCATGGAGATGCCTTGCATCCCTCCTTCCCGCACTGAAGCAGTGGCTTCCTCCAAGCTCAGACGGTTCCTCACAGTCTCGTACATCTTACTGTTCAATGTCGACTCAAGCACACCCTGAAGACGGAAGTCCCGATATTTTTTCTGTAATAAATGGGAGAATTAGAATTAGGTAAAGGATCTTAAGAAAAGAATCACAGGTTAGATATATGGTTTATGTGACAAATGACATGGTGCTAATGAACACTGATACTGCTACTGATACTGCTGCTGATAAGAGATTAGCAATGGAATTCAAAAAGAGAGGGAAAGTATTGTTTTAACAGGGATGGTACATTATACATAAAACCAGAAAATTCTATGGATAGATCTGTAAGCATCCTCTCAATCCTCGGATTATTATTTTATTGGTTTGATGAGAGGCAGAAAGCAGTATAGATAATAATTTAGAATAATATGTGTAAGTTTAGATATTTATTAGCTTGTAGGTCCCTAAAGGTCTGTTCTTCTGTGACTGGACAGTTAACTTCATTTGTTAGTCTGGTGGTTTGCCCTATGTTGACGGATCATTTCTCATTTTCACAGAGAAGTGTTTCTATATATTTCAAACATATAGGATCCCCATGGATACAGGTCATTTTTAAAGCTTTTGTGTACCATTTAAATATATTCACAACATTAATTCACTGAGTATGAAATCATTTAAAAAATATGAAATAATAAACAAAAGTTAAATGTAGGAATAGAAAAAAACATATTATCAAATAATTGTTTTCTATGAGGTTTAGTTGAGTTTTTTGTAATGGTTGAATATTGTGGCTCTCACAATAACACATATTTTGCACAAATATAAGCAATCTCACTTTGACAACCCTGATGAGTATCTTCAGTTGATAAACATGCAGCTGCAGGTCCATGCGGTCAGACAGCCATGTCCCGATAAGGTTCATAGTGCTGGTATACCATTGCTGTAACAGACATGCAAACAAATCATTATATACATATATATGTATATATCATTTTTAGATTTTTATTAAATGCATATGAAACTGCAGTATTGTAGAGCAACAAAAACCTTTGGAATTAATTGAATGTGAAAATGTACCATGTGTAATGGTACATTAGGTAAAGTTAGGTAATATAATTCTTGAAAAACAGTGGGATGGAAAACCAAAAGAAACTCTTATATGTATACTCTTACATCCTTATACAGCTTATTCTAAGAGGTTGTTATAGCTCTATATAAGTCATTGATACCCAAATGATGCCACCTGCGGCATGTCATGTGAAGTCAGACATACTGCATATCTATTGTCTTCAGATCTATTCAAGTCTTGATGGAATGGCCAGGAAAAGGCCATGAGAAAAAGCAATAATGAATGCAGCATCAGAGGAATCTTGTTTAAGAGAACAACATATTTTGGCTATCATAATCATGAATGATATTGTCAAAAAAAGAAAGTAAAACTGTCATTAGTACACAACATTTCTTCAGAAGTAAGTGATTACCAGGTTCACATTATTACATTCTTATCGACACAGTCATCTACCAAAATCTCTACGTATCATGTGGGACCACTGTGCAGCAGAATAAGTTTCTGAATAAAGACTAAAGATATGTAACAATGCTGTTTTATGTTAAAATTGCTATATGCAGAGAATCAATTATTGTATTTGGCGATGTTATACAACTGGCTAAAACTTTCATGCAATCTGTCTAGGGCATTTCCTACTTCTTGTCCATCACCTGGGATGGGCTCTAGCCCTCCACGATCCTTCTAGAAATAAATGGTATGGATAATGGACCGATGTCATGCCTGCTCTGAAATTGTAGACCGAATGAATTTGTAAAGCTCCCAATGGTTGCATGTCATCCTTTGCTAATAAAAACATGCCCATATTCTGCAATACTTTAAAAATAGTCAAATGTAATATTGTCCAACCATAACCTAAAAAATAAATAAAGTATTGTAAAAAAGAGTAACACGCTTGAGTCCCAACAACTATTCAAAAATGTATGATGAGATGTGTTGAAACCATTTTTTGGTCTAGGGAGAAAAGACTTACAGGTTCCCATTAAAACTATTGCTTTATTGTTTAACATAAAAGTTAAAATAGTTTTAAATTAGGCACAATAAACATTTTAGCCAAAATCTAAATATTTACTTTAGTACAACATTTCTACAATTTCTTCATGAATAAGACCTTTTTATAATGGTCTGAATATGCAAACCAACATTACAAATTCTGAAACATTTTTACAAAGCATGAGACAAGTTAGATTAGAAAAAAGAAATGAACATTTCATAAAACAATCAACAAGTCCCGAAGCAAAAACATTTGGAAGCTGTGTAGCATGGTGGTTTTCTGGAACAGTACGTTGGGGCTAAAATCCTGACTAGGGGATATTTTCAGTAAGGGCCCCCAGGCTGGGCCCTGGATGCTTTCAAGGAATAACTCAATTCAACACCAAGTGAGTGGCAGTTTGTGGCACACATGAGTTGACTAACACAGTTTTGTTTTTCGTGTGGTCGGCCTTAAGTATTTAAACATAACTTAATTCCGGCCCATCTTGAGTCACTGTGAGCACTCCTATCATGTCACTTCTGGGGCAACCTGGAGTTGGATGTAAATTCTTTAAGATATTATTCAAACCAGTTCCTGTGTCAAATGATCAAAAGGTGGCTAATCTGTTAGTAATAATAGGTGGGCAGATTGTGTTGAGGGCTGGACATACGTTGAAGATTGTGATGGGTGAGGATGGTGAGGAGTCCGGTCTGGTGGGTCACAATGGAGCTGCTTCAGTGTGTGAAAGCAAGACTGTAACTGTTAATTCATATTATTGAGAGTAAGGTGATTATTAACCTTAGATATTTTCTAAATGTAGATAATTTTAGATAAAAGGTAATGGGATATTGTAGATAGAATGAAGTTTATATTTATTGGAGTCTGCACAACGTTACTTAGTTTTTCTAAAGCAGTAGCAGTTATTAGAGGGGACCAGAATGGATGAAGGCTTTAACCTGAGAAGTAGGAAGGGGATGGAAATGGCTGGTAGACGGCTTAGATGTGTGAACGGAGTCACAGGGTTTGATGCCTGAAATTTGTCGGGACAGAGAAAGGAAGAAAAACAAAGATTGGGATAGGTGAAGTGGAGGGAAAATGGGGGGTTCTTCTGAGATGCATTCGGTCATCTTTTTAAAATCACAGCGGATTTGGAAAGATCAGTTGAACAGAAATGGGAAGATATATGAAGTGTTTTAATTAGGAAAAAATAATGGGATGATAAAAATATTGTTAAAAGAACTCATGGTGTCATACAATATGAATTTCCAACATTTTTTGAGACTCTAAATTTGGGGTTTTCATTGAGTGTATGCCATAATCCTCAAAATGCCAAGTAGCAGAGGCGGCAAATATTTTACCCAATGTGTAATGAATCTATATCATGTATGAGTTTTACTTCATGGAATGAGTGATGAGACATTTCTTTAGATGCATCTACACAAGAATTCAAAGAGAACTTGTTCAGGGACCATGTTGATATACCAGGATGAGGATTAAAGAGACCAGGAAGAATATTTCTGGATCTCTCTGGTATCCTGCATCCTTTTTGCTGTCAGTTCCCAATACTACAGCCCTCCTGTTAGAATTAATCATGAGTTGAACAAGGAAAGTGCAAAGTGTATTTTAGCTAATGATGGATGCCGTTCGCTTCCCGCTGGGATTAGCTCCCAAATCCCTGGACCTACTCCTGTGGCTGTAACACTTGTTTTTATACTAACTATTATGTAAACATTTATTTTCTTTATTCTGCTGTGGTGTGATGTTTTGAGACTGCTGATTTGACCGCTTTAGCTACACAGTTTTCTTTTTCTACTTAAATCGGAGGAATGACCACTAAATAAAATAGTTTGCCTCCACCTCAGTTACATGTGTCTCAATTGAATTATGAGATGTTTCTTTCCTTCTGGTGCCCCTGGTGTTCGTGCTATTGTTATTTGGATAAAATATTAAAAGCACGTCATATGTTGCTAGACATTAAGAAAAAGAGACAAGGCAATCAAGGTGGCATGTGCATGTGTCTTTTCCAAGTCAGCTTCGGAAAGGTGTGAAGAAAGCACAGGACTGCAATCATTCAGAAGTGGGAGGAAACTGGATTTTACTCTGAAAGTTCCTGGCACTTTTTTCTAAATAGCCAATAAAAACCACTCAGCGTTCTTGTCCACTCTCTCTTTCTGGCTAGATTTCTGAGAACAAAGGTAACACACTCTTTCCTGCAAGACCTATGAAGGCCTACCAGCCCCTGTCCAGCAGCCCTCCCCCACTGAAACAAAGACCTGCTAACTTCACTTCAACCTGCTCTCACAGCCTTAAAGGCCAAGGCCTGACAATGGTCCTATCATTTTCTGGCTCTCTCTTGTAGTACACAAAGCACTTCCAAGCTGACCAATTGAAGGCAGCATAAAGCTGAGTCCACCTATAAATGACCAGAGTAAGCTGGGCACTAACTCCAACAGGACTGAAACAAGTGACCACAATCTCTCTGGAAAACACAAGAAACGCACACCACAGACTGGAACTTGAGTAGACATGGGACCATTTTCTATGATTTATTTTCAAGGATGGCACATTTGTCAATGTCTGTAGCGTTAGAGAACACTGGGCAAAAGTGCCACACAGTTAAACATAGGGCCTCCTTTTTCTGAAGCACTTAAAGTTGCTTTAACTAAGGTTTAGTGGCAAGAACAATGACAAAGCTTAGATTAAGGTTGTGAATGTCAGCATGGACATGCACACCCGATCAAACATGCACAATCATCACAAGAACCTTTATTTTAAAATAGTGCAAAGTAATCATTCAAATTGTCCCCATGATTAAATCACTAAGAACACTATTTCCTAACAAACGAATGCTATGTACAAAATAAAAAAGCAAAGAAAATACCATTAGTCTGTATGTCTGTGTGCCTGTGTGTATATGTGTGTGTGTGGATATGAGTATTAGAGAAAAGGGGAGGACACTGACACAAAATGGCAGCTGGGTTCCTGAGAAGGTGAGGAGACAGGATGACGACTGTGCTCATGTGCTCGGTGAGGCATACGCCAACCAAAGAGCTCCAGGAATGGAGACGTCCAGCCATGTGCTACCTGGAGGTTTCTGGTGTCTCACGTGTGCACGTTTTGCTCAGATATATATTGACGCGAATAGCAAGTTGAAAACATACAGACCATGAACGGCAAGATGTTCAAATCCCTGTCTGGGTGTCCAGTTTTGGTTAACAAAGACTTTAAGAGTTTCTGGGTTTCTAAAGATCAGGTTAAAACGAGGGATGATTTGTTTATATCAACTCAAATAAAATGCTCTGTATCTATAATATCTGTCCCACATTGACGTGTATGAATGATATTTTTTAAATGATTGATATTTGATTTGACTTTATAGCTTCTGACATAAGTCAATTGTGCTTTATATTGTCATTAAATCTTCAATTAGATATAAACAACTGTATTTCGAGACTTTAATCTATTAATAGTTGCTAATAACAAATGTAGAGGGCTGTCAGCAATCATGACACTGAGAAAATCAAAAGAATACCCCAGAGCTCTAATTAACCAGGAGTAACCAGCAAGTGAAATATAAAATCCAAGGATCATGAAACAATAAAAATGAAACATACAACTCCAGCGTCTCCACCACTAAAAATGTTTAAATGGAGAGCCACTGTCCATCGAGGTCTCACCTTGTCCAGAGTTGGTCACACAGCATTCCTGCCAGTTAATATATTGTTTGAGATGAAAAAAACATTTAGCATTTTATTAATTTATTCTATTAAACAATATTGTCATTTTGTTTCACCTCCCCCAAAAACAATAAGGTTTAAATGGAAAACCAGCTTAAAAGCAGTCTATCATTTTTTCCATTCATTGTCTTTCCAGGATCAGGAATGGCTTGTAGCTGGGTATGCGTGGTGTA